AACATGAGCCTGCAGTGCGATGTGGCTGTGAAGAAAAGCTAATGCAATGTTAGGATGCATTAACAGAAGCATTGTGTCCAGAGGTGGTAGTTCCGCTCTGTTCTGCTATGGCCAGGCCTCACCTGGAGTCCTGTGTCCAGTTTTGGGCACCACATTTTAGGAAGGATGTTGACAAGCTCGAGCGTGTCCAGAAGAGGGCAACCAGGATGGTGAGAGGGTTGGAATCCAAGTCTTACGAGGAAAGGCTGAAAGAGTTGGGTCTGTTTCGCCTGGGAAAGAGAAGGCTTAGAGGGGACATGATTGCAGTCTTCAAATATTTGAAGGGCTGTCATGTAGAAGATGGAGCAGATCTTTTCTCTCTTGCTCCAGATTGCAAGACTAGATCTAATGGGTGGAAATTATAAGGGAGTTGATGCCGGCTAAATATCAGGAGAAACTTCCTAACTGTTAAGAGTGGTTGAGCAGTGGAACAGTCTGCCTTGGGAGGTGGTGGATGCTCCTTCGCTGGACGACCATCTTTTGGGTATGTTGTAGGTATGTAGGGCTATCTTTCAGCTATAATCCTGCAGAGTGCAGGGGGTTGGACTAGATGACCTGTGAGGTCCCCTTCCAACTCTAACATTCTATGATTCTATGAAAAGCTTTCTGGAAGTCAAGGTAAACTATTCATCCTTATTTTTCGTTACAATGACTAAGACACATCTTGAATATTCCCTGGTTTCCCCATGCCAGGCGCACTGAAGGGAATTCCAAGGTCCCACTTCCCCAGTTTCCATCCATCTTCTGGCCTGGCTTGGATAGTGCTGGGTGCGAGACCTCCTTCCCAGCTTCATAGAGAAAAGGCTGGGTTGAGAGGACCCCATCGTAGCTGAGGTGAGGGACTATTGTTCTTTGTGAGACTTGGTGTCCTAAAGGGTACCACTTTGGCCCCCAGACGGTTTAAATTTACATGAAATGGGCTGTATCAACAGAAGTATAGTGTCCGGATCATGTGAAGTGATGGTATTGCTTTACTCTGCTCTGGTTAGACCTCACCTAGAGTATTGTGTTCAGTTTCTGGCACCACAGTTTAAGAAGGATATAGACAAGCAGGAACGTGTCCAGAGAAGGGCAATGAAGACGGTGAGGGGTCTGGAGACCGAGTCCTATGAGAAAAGGTTGAAGGAGCTGGGCATGTTTATCCTGGAGAGGTGATATAACGATCTTCAAGTACTTGGATGGCTGTCATATACCAGAATCAATGGATTGAAATTACACCAGAAGTTTTCGGCTAAACATTGGGAAGAACTTCTTGACAGTTAGAGTGGTTCCTCAGTGGAACAGGCTTCCTCAGGAGGTGGTGGGCTGTCCTTCTTTGGAGGTTTTCAAACAGAGCCTAGATGTGTCAGGTAGCCCTGTCACAGAACTGGAGTGTGAAGGGGTGCACCGTTCCCGGCTCATCCCTGTCTAGCTTCTGGCTGCTCTCTCTGACCTGACCTTGTTGTCGTTCTCCAACTGCAAATTAACTTGCCTGGGAAAGTCAACGGCTTAGGCGCTTGCCTGCTTCTTCCTACCCGCGGGGGTGAAATGTACTCATTGCCTTGGGCTCATGGGGGGAAAAGTTTGATTACACTATAAGTCAGTGGCCATATTACAGGTCATTCCTTACTGTCACACGAGCTAGACGACCCCTCATCGCTGTCCCTGGATCCTTCTAGCTGTTGGTTGTCAGCCACTGTGCCCCACCTCCCGGAGGAACCGCAGAGGCCTCAGACTTGTGGGAGAGGAGGTTACGTCACCACCCTCTTCTCTCCCTTGGCAGGTCAGACAGAACCTTCTCTCTCTGCTTGTCCGCTCGCCCGTCACCTGTGCCACATCCTCCTCGGCCTCTGCCTTCGGTCCTCTTTCATTCCTCCCTCATGTCACCCGCCTTCCCCTGTGCGCCAACCTCCGCCCCTTCCCCCAGGGCCCTGTCCCCTCCTCTTATGCTGAAACGCTGGGGCGTGGACGTGGCACCTTCCCTGCTCCCTTGCTCTCGGCTTCTCCTTCCCCAAGCTGCTCTGGGCCGTGGGCGGGTTCTCGCACTGGGCTGCTGGCCCGGCGCGGTTCCCTCTTTTCTTCCGGAGGCTTTCTTCCCCCTGGCCTGGCGCTCGTCTGGGGTGGCGTCGTCCGGGGGACTCGGCGTTGGTCGCCCCTACCTTCCTGTGAATGCCAAGGGGGTTGGGAAATGGGGGGGGGTGTCCGAGGTATTGGAGTCCCAAGCGGCGGCAGCCATCCCTGGGGAGGCTCGCCCTAGGGACACTGACACAAGCTGTATACTCGTTCTTTAGTACTGGAATACCAATAAAACACTTATCTTCTGAAGAAGCCTTGTGGGTGGTGTGAACTGACTAAGGCCCCCTCTGACAGCCATGCTGATTCTGTGAACTGAGGCAGGTCATGAGGGAGGGCAGGAAGGGTTGCCTCAGTGCTTAGTTCTTGTGGCCCTTCCTTACACACCCAGGGAAATGCTGATCACCACTTTGGGGTCAGGAGGCAGTTTTTTCCCCAGGCCAGTTTGGCTGGAGAACCTGGAGGTGTTGTGTGTTTTTTTTGGTCTACTTCTGGGCATGGAACAGCAGTAACTGTGGGTGTGGAGGGGGAGGTATTTGTGAATTTCCAGCCTTGTGCAGGGGGTTGGACTAGATGACCCTGGAGGTCCCTTCCAACTCTATAATTCTGTGATTCTATGGCTGAAAGGCATCCCCTGGAGGTATGTTCTACAGCACCGTCAACACCCAACTCTGCTTCTCCTTTTCTCGAGATGGAAGCAGCCACACTTCTGAGTCATTGCCTGGATGAGGGTGAAGACAGACTGAAGAAAAGACAGTGGATGGTGGCCAATTCAGTGGACTGGCTCGCTGGGCCCAGGCCTGCTGTGAACAGGGCTACACCTTCCTTGAAGGATCGGGTCCAGAGCTGAAGCAGTGCCGTTGGCATCTCCGAGCAGGATGGGTGCAGCTTGTGGCAGAACTGTAAGCGAGCCTGGGGCATTTTGGCACAGCAGCCTGAATTAGCTTATGCCTCTGTTTGGTTCTCCGTCTCACAAGGCTTTGCAGAAGATTAGCTATATATGCCTCTCTCAGGCCTAACAATGCCCTCTGCTTGGAAAGGACGGTAGATGTTTCCGAGTTCAGCCTGGAAGTAAAAACAATTGAGGTACCAAGGTGTGTGGCTCCAGAGACCAGCCTTGACACAGGGAGGGCGTTGGACGTTTCTAACCCAGAAGATGATGAGTTAACTCTGGGAGTAGAGGTCCTCTGGTCAGTGAAGGGAAGGCTTTGGGTTTCGTCCTTTCTTAACTGACAGCTGCTCTGGATTTCTCTTCTATATAATGTCTGTTCAGGGCCCTCTGCCAACACCTCCCTTGTTAGGTCTTGATCAATGGCCGGGATGCATATTCCCAAGTAAGACATAAGGGCACTCTTTGTTTGGAAGTATTGTCTTTTTATGTCTTCTCATATGAATACTGAAACTGCTGTTTGCTTGCATACTTCTGCATTACGGTTTTGTGCGTCAATAAATACGTTACTTTGGAACAGTTGTGTGCATCTCTCTCTGTGAAACTATGGGGGGGGGGGGTGTCCCTGCCAGGTTCATTCCCCTCCCTCGTAGAGCCAGGCGGGGTTGGGAGTCCTGCGCTCCTATTTGCCCCAACACTGCTCTGCCAAGCCCACCCAGCAGGAGACAGCGGGGCTGGCGCACATCAGGTGCTCCTTGGTGACTTCCAGATTAGACCACCCTGACGCGCTTCCTCGGAAGCAGAAACGGCAACAGACGCAATGCAACAGACGGGTGTGAGACAGAGGAAGCGCGCAACTGCCCAAGCTCCAAGCCTCCCCCACAGGCTTCCTACGGATCCCTCCTGGGTCCTAGCTCAGGGCGCCCAGCTTTTCAGTCACGGGCCCCAATCCTGTGGAACCTGCTGGCCTTTTTAGAATGTGGAGAACAAGCAGCCGCCACAACACAATGGCTGCTGGTGGGGGGTGTGGAGATCACGGAAGGCTGGGAGGCTCCAGACCCGGGGCCCTGCTACGAGGGGGGCAGGTGTTTCCAGAGAGGGGCTTCCTGCAGACACGAAGGAGACTTCCCCGCTGCAGTGTCGTTGGGGGAGGCCCGCTCTGGCCGACAGCTTTGAGAGAGATGCAAGCGGGTGCCTGGAGACACGTCCGTCAGGGGCCTGCTCACTGGGGACCACCGCCGTCAGCGGGGGAGCACCTGACCCCCACCCGCATCTTCCCAGAGTGCCCGTGAGGCCGGCAAGGGCCGGGCGCGGAGAGGGGCACAGCGGGGGAGCCCAGAGGAAGGCGCCTCTCCCCTCTCCCCCGCCACCCATGCCCCAGGAGGTGGGGTGGGGTCCAGTTGGGCACACGCTCCATGGTGCTTGCTCAGGCCTGGCCGTGGGGGAGTCGTCAAGGCCCCACTGCAACCTAGAGGGCCCCCCCCCCGGAGTGCGTGGGAGAAGAGGGCGCGAGTTGGAGCCACGGCTGGTTTTTCATGACTTTATTGCAAACAGTGTAAAACAACGCAAGAGGCAACAATCCCTGAATGGGCGGAGCAGGAAAGACGGTTCTGCTCCCAACTGAGCCCTGCGTCCGAGGGCCCTCCTGCCGTGTGGGGTGGGGGTTCAGGACCAGGCGAGCTGACACCACCACCACCACAACCCAATGTGCACAACCGGCTTCAACCTCCCTGAATCCCGACAGACAAGGCCCCCATGCCAGCATCCACGGGGGCTGCGCTCTGAAGGGGAAGGGCGGCTGACTGGCCGGCAGGAGGGCACCACGGTCAGCCTGGGGCAGGAGGGAAGGAGGGGCCGCCGGCCCCCTCGAGAAATGCTGCAGGTCCGCTGTGGCTCCGGGTGGGTGGGGCCCACGAGTCAGCTCAGCCCCCTCTGAGAAACAGAGGAGCCGCAGACCCGCCCTCCTCCTCTCTGGCCGCTCTGAGGGGCAGCTGAATTCAGCCAGTCCGACTCCTGTGAGACACGCGGGGGGACCGGAGAAGGCTATCTTCTGGGGAAAGGGCAGGCTGGGGGGCGGGGGCCTCGGCAAGAGCCCCCCCCCCGCCACCGGCCGCCTCCAGCACCGGCTGAGCCAGAAGGGCACCTCTCGTGCCTGGGTGCCGGTCGCCCCAGAAGCTCCAGCCTCTGTGCCCCCAGGAAGCCCCGCTGGGCGCTCAGCTCACGGCTGCTGCCGCTTCTTGGCCGGAGTGGCTCCTCTCTGGGGGTGGGCTCCCAAAGAGCTGCCGTCCCCTTTGGCACGACTGGCATTCGGCCGGGGAAGGGCCAAGGCAGGGGTGAGGGGGGCTTGCTCCCTGGAAGAAGGAGAGAGAGGGACAGGCGGTTACCAGGCACCTCCCTCCCCCCCAGCAGATCCAGAAGCCAGCCTCAACTGCACCCCAGCGCGCTCTCAAGTTCAGCCACGGGTGCCAGCAGGATAGTGGGCTACGGGGTGGCTGCGACTCTGGGCCAAGGCTACCGGGCCAGGCCACAGGCTCAGTCAGGGCAGGGGTCCCAGCCCCACCAGAGGCGCCCACGGCTTACCTCTTCAAAGGCTGCGGGGGGCCGCCGGGGGCCTTGGTGGCAGGTGGGAGGGCACGCATGGGCGGCTTCAGCTGCAGCTGCAGGCTCTTCCCTTCCACTTCGACTCCCTGGGTGGGAAACACAAGAAGAAGAAGAGAAGAAGAGATTGGATTTATACCCCGCCCTTCACTTGGAGTCTCAGAGCGGCTTACAAACTCCTCTCCCTTCCTCTCCCCACAACAGACACCCTGTGAGGTGGGTGGGGCTGAGAGAACTCTGACACAAACTGCTCTCTTTCAAGGATGGCCATGCCAGAGCTTGTGACTGACCCAAGGTCACATCAGCAGCTGCAAGTGGAGGCGTGGGGAATCAAACCTGGTTCTCCCAGATTAGAGTCCGCGCACTTAGCCACTACACCAAACTGGCTCTCAAGGCAGGTGGTATGCTGGGGGGGAGGGGGAGGAGGTCGAGCTGGACAATGCAGCCCCCTCCCCCCGGGCAAGACAGCTAGCTTGTCCGACATTGCTCCTGCCGCCACCTCCAAGCCAGGCTACCATCCCCCCCCCCCCCGGGCCACCCGCCCCCCCCCCCCCCCCCCCCAGGGCAACTGAGGCCAGTCACGCGTTCTCAGCCGGAAACGCCTCACAGGGGGTGGGGGTGGCATGTGCAAGACGGGAGCAGGGGAACTGTGTACAGGGCACCCCACACACACACAAGCCTTCCAAAGCTTATCCGTGAGAAGGCAGGCCCCGGCCCGGCGACTGGTGGAGTGACGCCCAGGAGGCACGGCCTGCCCTCGGAAGGACACTCTGGCGGGAAGGGCCCCGTTTCTCTGCAGGCACAGTTTTGGCGGGCAACCAAACAGGAAACGGCTGGCAAGCCTGATGCCCGGCAAGCCTTTGGACGGAACACCCGGAATCTCTCCAGGGCCACGGACGGCCCGCCTCCCTTGGCCAGGGCCACTGCCCCTCCCCCACGTGGACACAGAAGGCCCCCCCCCAGCGCACCTGCAAGGCTGCATACGCCGCTTCCGCCGCTTCCCGGCGCGTGTAGTTGATGAAGGCACAGAACTTCTGGGGGAGGCAGCGGATAGACTCGATGGGTCCAAACCTGTGCCCAGAAGAGGGTCGGCGTCAAAGAGCCACGGTTCAGGGGGGGCCCCAACTACGGAGGTGTCCTGGTGCTGGGGAGGGGCTGCGCACCCCCTCCTCTGGCCTGTCCCAGGGCCTCCCAGGGCCTCCCAGCCAAGCTCCGAGTGGATCTGGCTGGAACCCAGACCGGTGCAGGAAGGCCTGGGCCTGGGACGCTTCCTCTCCAAGACCACACCGTCTCCTTGGACTGGCAGCGGCTCTCCGGGGCCTCAGGCAGAGAAAGGCCTTTCGTGTCACTTAACTACCCGGTCCCTTTTCTGACTGGAGACGCTGCCCGGGACCTCCTGCATGCCAAACAGGGGCTCTTCCACTGTGCCACCGTGGCCCCTCCCCCACCCCCCGTGCGGGTCATTCTCATTCTCTCTCTCTCTCTCTCTCTCTCTCTCTCTCTCTAGGGCTTTAAGGACCGACTCCCCCAGCCGGGTGGCAGCCCGGCAGCAGGAGCAGAAGGGTGGCGGCTTCCGTGAGGCTGGGGAGGGCAAGGGGGCACAGGGGGACTTACGGCAGGAAGTAGCGCAGCAGGGCGTCCTGGGTGACCTTGGGCGTCAGGTTCCCCACCCAGACGGGAAACCACTCCCTGCAGGGGAAGAGAGAGCCTGCCTCACCCACCGGGAGGGCCTCCGCCAGCAGCCCCAGGCCTGTCCTCTGCCGCCCCGCCCCCAAATGGGGCCTGGAGCTCAGGGGTGCCCCCCTGCCACCCAAAGGCCATCAGCAACAGACAGACAGACAGATTCGGGTTCATCAGCTAGTCACAGTCCA